GGGACAATGGGAGCCATTGGAATGATCATTCTCTGAACTCTGTCCCATTAAATAGTAAGCAATCGCTTCTTAGACATATATTTCACCTGTAAACTCTTATTCAATCAATTGCAAGAACTTCTCACCAGTAAGAGGTCTTTTGGCCATTCATCACACACTAAAATGAATAAAAGTGAATTAGCATTGGGTTATGCACCTTGATATCCTGTGCCGTTAACTCCCAATGTCCTCAAAAAAGTACAACGCGCTAAAAAATCCTAGAGCATGAAATACTCGAAAAATATTTGATAGAATAATCAGAATTCAAAAATGCATCTGTTTGCCTACATAAAAAAGTGATTATGACAGTTGCTGCAATTGAAATGTCACTAAGAAAAACTATACGACGGAGCTCTACAAAGTGATATTCTCACAGAATATTCCTCACATGGCTTCAATAACATACTATCATGAGGAGAGTTTGATATGTGTATACAGTGAAAATAATCTGAGCTGTATAAAAATCATATAGGAATAGGCTGTCCCCATTTGAGGACAGGGTTAGCGAAAGGGTTAACATCTCGTATTCTGTATAAGCTGTATCTCATTATTGGTCTCTATGGGATATAAATAATGTTGTTTTCTTCTCAAGGACATCGTATAAAAACTAATTAATCTTATCTAGTAGTACCTAAATTTCGTAATAGCTCACTAGCTCAGCATTATTATATCATCTTTCGGAAAGATGATTCGATTCTCGTTTGGAAATGTGATTCAATTCAAATGATAATATTTTAAAACAGAAACTGCTTTTCTTTTTATCTTCCTTTTTCTAAAACAGCTTGCGGTAGGTCACTTAAATTATATTGAGTAGGCATTGTAAGGTCATGTGATTCTCATATCACTTATCACTTTCGTGTCTAGTGTTAATTCTAGTAGTAATGATAATACCGAAAGATTAAAATAGAGATAAAAGTGGAAACATTTCCTCGCAATCGCATGTTTACAGGGTGAATCATTCGTTTTGACCTGTTCTTGGGATATTGATTTCTCTTTATTACCCCAAGAAACATTTCTGATAATAATGAATATATGACAAAAATATCATGAAGGGTTAATTAATGAATTCCACTCAGTGGAAACAACTAAGGTTTGTTAATCAGTGATGATAGTTATAACATTTCATTTCTGAGTAATCAAATCATGCCTTCTTGCATCATGTATATTTTTTAACTCATTTGGTAATGAATTGAATAAAATTATTCCATTGTGAAATACAGATTGTTTGCCAATGTTCGACTTGAATGTATTTGCAATCAAGTAATTCAATAACTAGGTACTTTATTGAAAGCTGAATTTGATATTTTCAATGTATTCCTGACAAAATAAATGAAACAACATATTTTAAGTTTATATAACGAAATCAGGTTCAGAAAATGAGTAATTTGAATAAATTTTCCCAATGCGATTTTATGTGATTCAAATACAAATCACCTGTGCTATCTATTGATACTGATTTGGCACGCTAACTAATTTCCACAACTTTTCATGAATACCCTTGGTTTCGGGTTATATAATATAATTCATCATCAGCAGTATCGTATATGGAGGACAACGAGGTGATTCTGAATAATCTATATTTCATGGGTCTATCATTCTTTATAAACAAGATTCAGGGTGATTTTTTTTAATTTTCCCCATTTTTTTCAATTAATCATAACTCTTGAACCACCCTATACATTTTTTTAATATTTGGTTTCTGTTCTTTGTTCACAGTGGTGACGATTGACATAATAAAAAAAAGTCTAGTAGGTTTCGAGTGGACACAACACCCTGTATATCAATATTTTTAAATCTCATTTACAAATTTGGAAGGAGTAAGATGAAATGAGTAAGACAGAATGTATTTGGTGTTCCCACACAAAATTGAAAAAAATATATTTGTGGTCCCAAATGGTATTTTTCCATTTATAATCCATAAAATCATCACCTATTTCGCATTCTCCTAACTTTTGGATCCCAACCTAACTAAAAACGAGTGGACATGTCCGTATTCGGGGCAAATTATAATTATAAATGACTAATTTGTATGTGTAAGAAAATTATCATAAAATTATCATAACGTTTATTTATTGTACAACAATTATGGAAATGTTGAATAAAGCCTATTCCGGATAAAGCATAACTCTTTCACACGGGATATTGAAAACCAGTGTTTCCACGACAAAACGAAAAAACACGTAAACTGTCGGCTGTCAAAGTTAGACAAGTTGAACATGAGATATGAATTTGATGATTTGAATTTCTGTAAAACGGCATAATGAAAAGTTTGGAGAATCTATTTTCAGTTCAGGAACAAAGTTAATTGATTCTGTAGGCATGGTATCATCACTCGGTGGTAATTTCTGGAGAATATCACGAAATAAATATGCCAAGAAGGCACTTAATCCTTATTTACTTCTCAAATCTACTGAAATTGGCAACATAGTTGCTGGAATAATCGTGTACAGGGTCATTCCGTATATTTAAACAGCTTCTACAGGTTTCATGAAGGAATATATACATAAAATCAAATATAAAAATTGCAGGGTTTGTGTTGACCCAATGGAACACACTTTATATATATTTTTCGAAAAAATTAAAGATCTCTCTTTCCTAATTTCAAAAATATATAGGTTGTTCATATTCGGTACAGAATTTTTTCGAAAAATATATATTCATTTGTTTCACCTCGTACAATTTTCTGGAGGTTCAGAACAAACCGTTCAACTTTTGTATTTGAAGTTTTTTTCTATCTTCAATGATGAACCCTGTAGAAGCTGTTTATTTATACGGAATGACCCTGTACACTCGCCTTCAGTGAACATGTCGCGATTGGACGGTATGAGTGCTCTTATTGCAGCGGTGATTCAGAGAGCCGACACCGTCCATGTGCGACATGTGTTTTGAAGACGACTGTACATACGCATGTTCGAATTATTGCTTTGTGGGTTTTGGGTCGCGAGAGTTGCGAAATACAGTATCCCGTTTGTTAATTTTTAAACGGCTAATTTTTTTTGTTATTTTTTTCATTATTTTGTGCCAATGGTAGCTTAGGTATCTTCTAATATGGCGCCTCAAATTTAGTGACCACATTATGAAGAATCGCCACTATACCATTCATTCTTGCCTGTGAATGAAAATGAAAACAATATCTTGAATGATTATTTTTCTCGACTCAACAGATATATTTCCAATATCTAGAAAAAATACAGAGGTAACAAAGTTCTATAAAAGATTTTTACTATATCCACAAATATTTCGAAAAACTGACATTCTGTATTTTAGAAATATAATAAACGATTTGCAAGATCAAATTACCCTTAAGAACTAACTTTCGTGATTCTATGATCACTCGTAATAAAGATAATTGAAGAAAACTGCATTTACGTAGACTTAGTATTTTCTATTAAAAATTCATTCATTCACTCTTAGCTACTTTTTCTCTGGATATATAACTGTTGAGTCTAGAAGGAGAAAAACAATCTTACGGCCGTTTCTAATTTTGCACTTATCACGCGATGTTTTTTTTTTCGAAAAATTTTATGTTGCCTACGAATTTTTGCCAGTAAAACACGAATTTGATAATGAAAATGCGAACAAACTACTATTTATCGAGATATTTCAAGAAAAAGTTTGCCTGTCTTGGAAGCATTCACAGCTACTTGCTCTTTTTATTTTGTCATTGGACATTATTATTATATACTCATGACTTACTTCAATGACACATTTTCATATAGAAAATTCAATACAAAATATGATTTTTATGGTGATATTTAGTGAACAATCATACCAGATGACGGCCATTTAATCAATAATCAATCCAAATACGAGATGTCAAATGTCAACAGATTCCTTCTGAATGACGTTACACACGCCATTATTTTAAATGACAGTCTTCCCTCTCTTCAATTAATTTGGATAAAGCGCAAGAATAGATATTTACGTAATCAGTTAGGAAACGCGTTGTTTTGCGTAACGATGGGATTTTGCGGGACGAGCGAAGCGAGATCCCGCAACATCACAGAGTTACACAATATTTTTTCTAATTTTGACGAAACATTTCGCATGAACAAAAATAATGACCAGTTTTACATGAGTTCTGCCGACTCTTGTTGTGTGAAATGAATGAATGAAATGAACATTACATCACCAGTTATATGTAAAATTTTACTTTACGCAACTGGTTACGTAAAGTAAGACGTTTCAAAACTTCCGTCAGTTTTGAAAAGTGTCACATTACATGTCAAAATTAGAAAAATCATATTTCTAGTTGACTTCCATATCAAAAAATGTGTCATTGAAGTACATCATGATAAGTATATGGTATAAATTGTCCAATAATGAAAAAATAAGGGCAAATTGTTCCAATGCAATCCAAAAGATACAGGCGGAAAGGAAGGTGAAATTTGTAACTTTATAGTGAGATATCTTGATAAATTGTGGTTTGTTCACATTTTCATTATCAAATTCGTGTTTTTCAGAACAAAATACGTAAGTAACAATAACAAATTTTCGGAAAAAAAAACCATCGCACGATAAGTGCAAAATTATCATTTTCTTCCCTAAAAACAAGTTATAGAGGGTGATTCTCCATAAGGAGTCACTCGGTACACACACACAGTCTAATTACAATCCATCGAGATAAATCCGAGAATCATACGAGATTCGAATCACGTGCTGCATACTCGTAGATTCATTCCTATACGTCGATCACCATCATCTCGGTGTGCGTTGAAATCGTCACGCGGCCACCACACCAACACCAACAAACAGTCGCCACACATCGGTCTCCCGAAACAGTCGACAATCAACACACATACACGGCACTCTACGCGCGAACAGAATAAATATATCGTCGTGTCTTATTGTGATTTCGTCAGTTCGGCTTCACAACACACCACAACCACGACGACAACAACAACAACAGTTGCTGTTGCCCGGTGGTGTAGTTTAGTTGCGAACCTCACAAATCTTTCTAGCGGTTGGGAGGGCAAAGATGAGATATACTCTGCCGGTCAGTACTCTTCGTTAATTAAAACGGATGAGGCTAAAGGTAAATCGAACAACGTGGAGGAATCACCCGATGAGGTGGTGAGGGTGGGAGGAACAGTTGAGGAGAGGAAACCGATTTCGGCCACGGCCAGACTGTTTGGCGATCTGAGAGACGTGGAGGGTGGCGCATCGAGGCCGCAGAGCGCTACCACCAAGATTTTCGGCCCCAGGACCAAGGACATGAGCAAGGGATTCCTCACCTTTTCGGACGAGGAGCCAGGGCTGACAAGTGAGTACCTATATCTGCATCAAATCTCTATGATGGAATGAAATTCCGTGATAAAAAAGTGTCAACCATCTGTCAACCTACTGCCCTATAGATCAACCTTTTCAGAATTTTTGAATTGGACAAGGGGTCAAGTTACACCTTGGTATTAGTAGGTGTGGATGGTGACTGATTAGATCTATCGTGCCTCATCTTTTTTTTTTGTTATGTTCTGGTTCCCACGAAAAGGGATATCCTGTAATGTTCAGAAAACATCGTGAGAACCAAGGGAAATAAGGTAGGAATTGGTGTTCTTCTTAAATTTCTGGAGGTTATATGCCTCGGGAAACATCTCTCTTGACAATGTGTTCCAGAGCCTCGCTGTTCGTTGAATGAACGAGTCTTTGGAAAGAGATGTTCTGCAGGTCTCCGAAGTGACCTCGAAGGGATGCGAGGCCTCAACTCGACGGATTATTCTCGCGGGGATTGCCAAGGGAGGAACAATTGTCGATATTTCAGAAGAGCATCGTCCATGGAAATATCTATAAAATAGAGCCAGATCGCCAACTTTTCTACGGTGTTCCAGAGAAGTGAGTGAGTTTGTGAGCGAGGCATCACCCACGAGACGAATCGCCCTTTTCTGTACAGAATCCAGCAGTTTCAGGGTATGTTTGGCTGCTGCACTCCAAATATGGGAACAGTATACCAGGACAGGTCGGATTTGTGCCTTATAGATCAGAATCAGCTGACTGGAAGTGAAATAGCTCCTGGCCCGAAACAGAAAACCAAGTTTTTGGGATGCACTTTCAGCAATTGATCTCACGTGATTTTCTCAAGAAAGGTTATTGCTGATAGTAATACCAAGATTTACTTCTTTATAGCAGCCCCTCAAGCTTCAGATCTTTTAGGAATTCGAGGAGTTTGAGATGATCTGTTCGTGGTATTTTTCCCACAGTCAGCTGGTATGATCCCAGTATACTCGATCTTTTGTGATGTACAACATAGCACTGAAAGCAAAATATGGTGAGGTGTTTCTGGATGTCCCCCGCAGGATCTGCAAGTGCTGTCCCCTTTTAAGCCTAGCTTCCTTGGATGTTCTTCGAGTCTACAATGCCGTTTGAAATCTCGTTATTTCCTTGCTACCAATTTTGCTGAGGTTAATCAGTGTCTTCGACCTTGCTTGGTAGAAATTGCCGAGGAGATCTTTGGCCTGCAGCGGCCTGGAAACCTTCGCCAGTGTGTTGCTCTCATTGCTTCTTCAGCTTTATCAAGTTCTTCTGGAGATATGAATCTCCCCAAGGCCGCAGAATGGTTCTGGTCCGATCAGTGGCATTGATGCTCCTTTTCGTGCCAGGATGTCTGTTTGTTCATTTCCCTCCACTCCAATGTGCTTCAGCACTCAGAAGAGAGATTACCTTGTTGTTACTGCCTAACTTGTTCAGTACCATGTATAGGCATTCCCAAACCATCTTTAGGTTGATGTTGGAAAAGCTCAACGATTTTCTTGTTCCGGTAGTTCTTGTCGACTGATGCATTCTGGAACGCTGGGGAACACTCCTGCTCCAGTCCCTCAGGTGTTTTAGACCCGTCCGTACACCATATTATGGTATTCTTACCCGGTGCTTGGATGGATTCTGTGCTCCATTCTCTCTTGGTGGTTAGCTTCGTTCGAAATCTTTTCTCAAAATTGAACTTCCTGATAGTTAGGTATAGTTTATGCAAAGACAGTTGAACAGATCATCAAACGAATGTCGGGCCGCGCTGCCGCCCTCTTTGAACTTTCAAAGGGACCGACGGCTTGTGGTGATGTATTTTTCCAACTGACTTTGCATAAACTATAACACCTTATATCTGATGAGATTAGATTAAGATTTGGCCTTCAGGTTGTTTGCCTAGACATCGCGACCTCTAAATCGTTTAGAGCTCTTTAACTGGTCCCGCTTTCTCTATGAGACTTTATAGGCTATCTTTCAGATCCCCTGTGTATCTTTGGGCTCTTGGTTTTTCATCTCCCAGCATAAGGAACCTTTTAGTTTTCACAAGTACTCGCTGTGGCAATGAACTGCTAATTCTGCCTCTTCCTGATATAACCTTTACAAGGTAACTATTACATATTCCTTGTATACTTCAAAATGTTTGAGGGGTTGATCTGTAGGGCAGAAGGTTGACAGGTGGTTGAATATTTTACGAAAAAAAAAGAGTCTCAAAAATAAAATTCGACTCGACCTGTCCGAGAGTTTTTGAAATGTATTTCTGTTTAGGAGGTAAGAATTTTATTCCATCATAGGTTTCACAGATGGCGAATTCGTAAACTCAACTAAATTAAGAATTGGCAATCAGATTGAGAATGTTCCAGTAAGTGATTGGTTGATTGGTCCATTTGAGTTATTCGACCAATCAGCTTCTAAGATTCTCAACTGAGGAAACAGAAAAAATATCTTCATATTGCATTCAAATGCGATAGGTATAAATTATACATTATTATAATAGTTTGCGGTTCAACTGATTATCGTTTGAATAAATCAATGATTATGGTATGTTCACTACATTATGATGAATACTTACTTGAAATATATATACCTACTGTTGGTCAAATGATGTTGATGACCTGGCTAAAGTATCAAGGAAAAATAGTTTGGTTGAGTTTTTAAATTCGCCAGAAGAAAAATTGTGGCATATTTGAGATCGAATGTTCTTCAAAATAGTGAGACCAAAACAAAAGCTCTTGTCAAACAATCCAGTAGAAATCACCAACCACCCCAAACTAGTTCCTCAAACTGGACGCTATTTTTTTTCCAATTCAACTATACAGGGTGTGACTGAATAAGTGCATTCTGATTTGAAGAAAGAAACTAACCAAGATCTGAATAAACTACAACCAAGTTTTCAAACTAAATAAACTTGTATGTTACAAACTATATTATGAAAACGACTTTTGAATGTTCAATTTGAAAAATGAAGTTGAGTATATCAATCCATACGTTCTTTTATCTCTACACGCATTATCTCGGTTTGTCTGATATAATATTCGTATACTATTACACAATCAGAACCGTAATTCTATAATAAATTGTTCTTTTCGGATTGATATTACTGGTACTGAGAATACAGTGTATAAAAATTGAGAGTCATTGCTAAAATAGTTTTCAACTTTTTTATCTTCATTGTTTTTTGATGAAAAATGAGGGAATTGAGACGAAATGAATAGGAATCAACAAGAAGGGTGATTGAATTATTTTCGAAAAAATAGAGTAGGAGACAGATCTTCTAGGATTAAAGAGTTTAAGGACAAACTAGCCATAAAAAAAGGTTTCTTTAGTTTTAAAAACGTACAGAGTTGAGTCGATAAATATGAGAGGAATTGAATGGGAATTATAGAATGTAATATTATTGAAAGAAATGATTCAGGGCATAATTTAGGAAATAAACAGAAGGAAGGATTTCTCGTATTTTTTATAACAAATAGGTAGGTAGAGCTATAGTGGGAATATCTCGGAATATGCACTGACATCGAAACATTCAAGTGAATATTTAATCATACAAAGTAACATGAAATAATTCTTATTGAACTCAACATAAACAAAACTCGCTTGAATATGATAGATGAAATTACATTTAATATCCTTGAGACATAATATGTTCACATGTTATTCTAATGGTAGTTTGAGAATAACACAAAAACTAATGCCGTTGTAAGAAAATAAATTCTACTCGTTTCAATCTTGTTATTGCGGAATCATTTTCAATTAATTACGACAAATAACTTATTTTTATCAATTGAGATAAAAGTATCACATGGATAAGCAATCCATCTCGTCATGTTATGCAATTCGAAAAATACAACGTCTACTACCTATTATAAATAAGATGCTTGTGAGCTCATAAAAACACATCAATGTAACTTTATCTACGACCATTGTTACCTCAGTAAGTAGCTCATTATGAATGTACAGGGTGTATCTCAATAACACCGAAAAAATTCAAGGGGTGATAACTTGCTTCGTTTTCGAGATACAGAATATTAATATTTCCATGGAAAATCATTTTTCTAATCATTTCTCAATTGTCTTTCCATCAATTTCAATGAAACGTTGTGGTTTTGCAAAGTTGGCAACAAATGGAAACCTGTTTCATTGTTGATACAAGAAAAAAACTAATTCTTCATAAAAAGGTCTGCGAACCTAAAACTGAAAATGCAAATATCAGATATCGATTTTTTTTTCAGTCGTATACGAGGTATGTCAAAAAATATTTATTTTGCCCGACAATATCAAAAATTATTAGAAAGAAAAGGTGACTAGAATTGAAAACTACGTTCAAATATTCAATTACATCTATATACGATGAAAATCATGTTTCATTAATTTTTATAATTTCTCATCGATTCATGTGGACGCTGTAGATAAAGTATAGTACGTTATACGTGTTTTATACTGTACTTTACCTGTTGCCATATAGTCTCGCATATAGTACATCAAAAAAGTTTGGACAACCTATTGTCGTTCTAGATGTCAACCTAGTTAGGTAGTTAGTAGGCAAGAGCAGGTCGCCTACTAGGTTTTCATTTGGATCGACAATGGACAAACAGTCTGAATTATAATTCTTGACAGTTATGTCATCCGCTGTTGACGGCGATTACGCGATCATGACATACCTATACTGGCGGAATAAACGAAAACTGTGCGATATGCTTACTGTGCCTAAAGAGCTACTCACTGAGGCTATATCTCGTAAGTTCTTGCCTACTTTCTATAGTAACCGTAGGTGAAAGCAATTACGCACTCTTGGAATTTTTTTCAAGTTCTGGTTCCCACGAAAAAGAAAATATCCTGTAATATTCAGAGAACCAAGGGAAATAAGGTAGGAATTGGTGTTCTTCTTGAATTTCTGGAGGTTATAGGCCTCGGGGAACACCTCCCTTTGCAATGTGTTCCAGAGCCTCGCTGTTCGTTGGATGAACGAGTCTTTGAAAAAGAGATGTTCTGCAGGTCTCCAAAGTGACCACGAGGGGTCACTTCGTACAT